CAACACTCTGGTGGTCAAGAAGTCTAATGTGGAGGCAATCTTCTCAAAGTAAGGCAAAATTGTGGGTTGTTCTGTCCATAAGGGCTTTTGCCATCATCCAGTATATAAATGAGAGAAATGCTTGGGGTTGTGTAGCAAGAGAGGATGGCAGAATGATTGCTGGCAGGTTTTGGATACTAATGGCTGCAGAACCAAAAGTGAACAGAGGAAAAGCAGGTGTGAAATGATCTGCAGTGGAGATGTATGGGTCAATACCAGAACACCCTTCTCTGTCTCCTCTATTAATCTCCTCTTTTAACTTGGACTATGACTTTCAACAGGATTATTATAACAGGATTTATAGTTATCCAGCATGAATTCCTCCTCCTACTATTATTGTTAGGGCTGTGGTACCCTCTAAATGCCAGCGTGTATCAGGATACAACTCCTRAAGGGGCAAAAGTGGCTTCAATTCAAAGGGCAGACTGCAGGGATCTTCTTTGAAGTCTGGAAAGTTGAAAGGAGATGACCTTCAGGCCATAAAGAAGGAGCTGACCCAAATAAAACAAAAAGTGGATTCTCTTTTGGAAAGCCTGGAAAAAAAAATTGAAAAGGAGCAGAGCAAACAAGCAGCTCCCTAAAGAACAATGAGACTAATGTGAAGATGGAGTCTGAGGYGGGTACAGATGACTCTGCTGAGGAGGGGGACCTACTGGATGATGACGATAATGAAGATGGGGGATGACCAGCTGGAGTTGATCAAGAATGATCAAATAGAGGCAGAAGAAGAACTGCATGACTCTTAAACACATAGTGGGGTTTAGAAATCTTATCCCATTATTTCTTTACCKAGGTTCTTGTCTAAGATCAAAATTTCACCAGATCCTCTCCCTAGTATCTTCAGCACATGCTCACTGTTCTATTTTTGTCCTTCCCATGTTCATTAATTCATTTGGCCCTATGTCTAGWACCATTTTCACTTCCTTTGATGCTCCTAGCAGTTTTGTTAAGTCTTACTCTGTAATTTTTGCTTTTAATTTTGATACCTCTTCATGACTTTACAATAAAAAGAATATATGCTTTTATCAATTGTCTCCAAAATAATCTCTTGTTATGCAGGGAGTACAATTCTTTCCATTGATACATGATTTCAGTAGTTGCTTCCCTAACTAACTGCAAAGGCAATCTCATTTAGTTGTAGCACCTGAGAGCACCATTGAGTTAGAGGTATGTGTTTTATCCCCCACATAATAGTCCTGTGTAGAGCTGTTCAACACAAATACAACAATGTATTTTTGTGAATGAGAGCTGGCATGTTAAGTGCTKCTTTAGAAGAATAGTTAGTGTAGTAGTCTTTGTTTTCTAAAGTTGATACTGTGGGTCACTTTTGTGAACAGCCTGATGTTTGAGACCTTTTTTTTTTTTAATCAAAAACAAGTCCTTATTAAATCAGGAAAAAAAGAAAAGAGGCAAATGGACAGATATCATATCAGCTCTTCTGTGTTCAGCCCAGGAATGCATAATACATTTTCACTCATAGCCCAACTGACCAGAACTCAGGGCCTCAACAAACTGCACATGGAGCTGGAAGTAGATGGGCTATTTAGGGAACACCACTGTCTTTGCCACAATATCCACATGAAAATGTCAAGTAGGCATTCACAACAAATGTAGACTGTAGACACATTGGTTTAGGAATCATAGAAGATAGACGACATTTAAAGCCACCCTCTTATGACTTGAATCACAGTGGCCTAATGAAAGCAACATTATTTATGTTTTCTGATTTAAAGGAGTAGGAAATATACATGGGTGTGTATACCCTTCAAACTTCTTTAGTGAAAATAGCAGCACATAGGTGCCTTCCCAAAACTAGTGAAGACAATGTTTTAACTTCTCTAAGTAGAAAAGAGCATGGGGGCTGGGGATATAGCTCAGTTGGTAGAGTGCTTGCCTCACATGCACAAGGCCCTGGATTCAGTCCCCAGCACTACCAAAAAAAAAAAAAAAAAAAAGAGCATGGTACCTAAAAACCCTACCTATAAAAGCCTGATGCTCAGTATAGAGGGGCTGGGCTCACAAAGTTGAGAAGGAACACTTGAAACTATGCCTATTAATCCATGGAGATACTAAAAGCCAAGATCTCAGAGGACAACCTAAAGTTTCTTCATGYCCAATGTACCACTAGGTGGCACTAGGAGGCCAAAGTAAGAAACACCAGAAAGCAAAGAATGTAAGAATAAAGAAAAATATGGGGGTGGGGGATGGGGAAGGCATGGGAAAAATGGAAAAACTTTGATTGGGCAAAGGGGAGGGAGAGGAGGAGGTATGGGAGCAAGAAAGATGGTGGGATGAGATGAACATCATTACCCTAGGTACATGTATGAACTGCACGTATGGTGGGACGCTACATTGCGTACAACCAGAGAAATGAAAAGTTGTGCTGCAATTGTGTACGATGAATCAAAATGCATTCTTTTGTTATTACACCTAATTAGAACAAATAAATAGATTTAAAAAAAAAAGAAGGAAGAAACAAACTGGTTTCAATGAGATAAGTAGAAAGACAAGACAGTGCCTGATAGAACTTAGTAGTATCAGTGACCAAACTGGTTAGAACTATTCTATTGCACGAAATTAACTAACTCATGAATCTTACTGTTTAAAAGACTTACTAAACAGTAAGATTCATGAATTTTATTCTGAACTTTAATGACTTTCACATGAACTTTATGGGTTTTTGCTGTCACCTAATGTGCATTACTGCACATGCCGATTTTGTGTGTTTTTGCATGTGCATCCTGGGAACTGAAAAAAAAAGTAGTTTATTCTGTCCTTCACTATAGATTTCCAAGAATATTATATTATCACATAACTAACTACATTAATGTTTTTGACAGAAAGTTTCCCTTCCTCTCTCATTCTTCTTGTGTGTATATGTGAGTATATATACTGAAGAGCTGAGTTTATTCAAAGTCAGATTTTAGGTCAATGGATGTAAGGTCTGGACTTTTTAATGCTCATATTATGCCAAAACAAAAAAGAACTTTTCATTAAAAATGGGAAACCTTATTTAGTCCTTCAATAACACAAGCTAGGTACTAATAACACTCTCCGTGTGTAAATAAAATAATTTGGGACAGCCAACAGATAATGGAAATTATAATAAATATATCTTATCWCTTTGGTAATTATAAAACTAGATGGTTCATTTGTGTTTCAATCAGTGAAACAAATGATCAAAAGGGAAATTATCCCACAAAATATTACTGATCACCCTTAAAGTATATTGAACATAACAGAATCAGAAGAAACCAGCACTGGAGGCAAAACCATTATTCTGAACTTCTTAACTTTTTACATRTAAAGGCTTATTTTTAAGATGGCATTATAAAGCACCCTGGGGTAAATGGACAAGATTTCAGCTACCCTAAGACCATTGGGACACCTAGGGTCAAAGATCCCTAAGAGAGATCTTTGTACTAAGTATACCAAATACAGGCTGTGGCATTCAACCTTGGGTTCACACTAGAATCGCTAGTAAACTTAAAAGATATATATTGCATCTCCCTCCCCACTAAAATTTTTATTTCAGTGCTCTGGGGCAGATTGGGTATCATGACTTTAAAAACTCACAGGTAACTATAAGGCATAGGCAAGAACCACTGCACGAAGATAATCCAGGAAACTTAAAATAAAAATCTACCGGGGTCATCTAGCTTCCAGTCCTAAATACAAATATGAGGATTATTTGTTTATTTTCATTTCATTTCAATTCAGGTAAGTATAAAGAGAAAAAAATGCAAAGTTCAAAATAGGAAAACTACACCCTCCATCTCTCCCGCAAATAGCCATTACATTTATTTTGCCTTTTAAAGAAAAGTTTGTGTACACACTAGCATATTTGAATCTCAATAAATAATTTTACACTAAGGCGTGCACTCTACACATAATATTCTGTGTTGTGCCTTTTAACAGTGGATATATCCGAGAATAATTACTTTAAGGACTTTAAGGACTTACTGTGCTTTATTTAACCCTTTCCTTGGGTTGATTATCACTTAGCTATACTTATTCTCTCGTTGCAATAAACATCCTTATACACGGATTATATGCATCGTGAAGAACTTTTATAAATATTGTATAGGTAAATTCCTAAGACAGCGATTGCTGGGTGCATTTAAAATTTGGATAAATATAGTGAGTTAATAAGCACCAAATAAGTAAACCGATCACATTTGTCAAACACATGATTAAGGCTGCCCGTTAGTTCTGAGGTGCTGGCAGAGTTTTGCCTTGCGGATGTCAGGCGGGGTCGTCATACCCGGGGCGGGCACTCCTAGGTCAYGTGGACGACTACGCCCTCCCGGCGGAGGCGCCACGCGAGGGCTAGAGCTCTGGCTCGCGCAGTCGCAACCCGCGGAGGACACTGCGGGTGGGTCTCGCCGAGGCGGAGCGAGGACGTAACGGTGAGTTYTCTTCTCGCCATGCGTGGCTGGGCGGCCGGGCACGGGGCGGGGCTCGCGGGGCCAGCTGCTTCCGGCCCGCGGCGGCCCGGACTTCCGGCGGCGGCGGCTGGCGGTTGTGCTGTGCCTTGCCCTCTCTGCTCTTTATTGCTCCGAACGCGTTGGCCAGGGGTTCAGCATTGGTTAACCGTTAACCTCCAGGGCAGGCTTTTGCGCAGGCACCAGAGGCCCGCTGACATTGTTCACCTTGGGAATTGGGCCTCACCCCTGACCTGCGGCCCTAGTGATTTCAAACATTTTTCTGGGCATTTGTGCGCTCTAAAATAATAACTACATTAGGGTTTCTGCAGCCCTGTCCCTCCCAGATATTTGTCTCCTGGAGTCTGCCTATGGGATTGCATCTGAACCAGCAGACTATCCAAGGCGCTGCTCGTACTTCTTCTTTCTTTCTTTCTTACTTTTTTTAATATTTATTTTTTAGAAGTAGTTGGACACAATACTTTTATTTTTATGTTGTGCTGAGGATTGAACCTAGGGCCTCGCACGTCCTAGACGAGCGCTCCACTGCTGAGCCGCAGCCCCAGCCCTGCTGCTTGATCTTAATAACTACAGATCATCTTTACTGAAACGTTAAATACAGTTTGAAGTCACTCAAGACAAACTGGCAGAGCTGTAAAGAACTTAGAGGTAGGAACCAACTTAGTTTAAGCATTTCCTGAGGTTAGGCCCTGTTCTAATCATTTCAAGTGAATTCAAGCACTTAACCCTCACCATGCTCTATGTGGCAGCCCCTTTCTTATGCAGCACAGCAGAATGAAGCAATTCGCCCCAAATCACGCAAAGCCTGGATTTAAGTCGAGCTCAGCTGTGATCATGGAGCTCTAATGCCAGCCRATGGTGGCCGTTTCCAAAATGGAATAGCTACAGGACTTTATTAGGCTTGTATTCCATTTTAAACATTTGTGGCTACAGCTCTTACACATTAGCGTTTCTAAATTAAAAAGGAAAAAAATCAGAACCATCTTTTTTTCCTATACATGTATATACCACCAATATAAAGATAACCATTATATACATAACTGATGTAAATCTTTGCATTGCTAAAAGGATGGCTTACTTGCAGACTGCATGCTTTATAAGAAATGTAGATCTACCTAATTAGTACTTACTCATATCTTCGGTCATTAATCATCAATTTAGTGAGAGTCAGTGAGCCTACTATATGAAAAGAGGCCAAGCAGTAGGCACTCACTGGAGGATAGCTGTTTTTTTTTTTTTTTTAATCTATTGTTATTCTGTCATCCAAAGAGATACAAAACTACTTTCCAAGGCATTTCTCTTGCCTGAACCTAAAAGCAAGGGTGTCACCCTGGTGATAAGCATTTTGATAATGTATGGGCCAAGTCCCCAGACTTAGTAAAAGCACCTTTGTCCTTGCTCAAGAGGAATATCAAGTAAGTACCTTTAATTTCATGTCTCTTTTGTCTTATGGAAACTTAATGGAGTTAAAGTATTTTTCTTTAAATTTATCTTTTTTTTTTTTTTTTTTTTTTGGTGGTGGGGATTGAACCAGGGCCTTGTGCATGTGAGGCAAGCACTCTACCAAATGAGCTATATCCCCAGGCCCTTTTTTCTTTCAATTTAATCTGAATGTATTATCTATTTTGTAATAAAACCTGATAGTGACCGAGGATCCATTTAACTAGTTTGTAACTTTATATGGAGTTAGCACCTTTAGAAACTTAATTTTAGGGACAGACCAAAAAATGTTTTTTGAAGACAGTTGTGGAATAGAAGAGTTAAATTTTTCAGAAGGAAAATTTCACCTATCCCACAAACTGTCTAAATTGACTAATTTACTCTATGTGAAAGCACATTCTATGTGTAAGTGCATTCATTTAAGAATCTGCTGTCTTTTTATTCATTGCACAACATGGTGACTATAGTTAATAAAATACTGTATTGAAAAAAATCTAGGAATGGATGTAAAGTGTTTGCACCACAAAGTGATTATTATGTGAGGTAATGCATTTATTAACTATATGTAGTCATTCCACAGAAAATRTATACTTCAGAACATCATATTGTACACAATAAATAAATACAATTTTGTCTGTCAATGTAAAACTAAAAAATGAGTTTTAAAAAGATCTTAAACTAAAATAGAGACAATGTGTAGGAATACATGAATAATTCATCAAAGTAACTGTAATTAAAGTGAACACATGGACTCACTATTGTTTGAATGGACCATGATATTCACAGTATTCAATTAAGAATAATATGGTATTAGTTATAAATAGTCATCAGATATAAAGACTACCACTTATGATACATAAAGGAAACTATTATTTGAAGGATGAGATAATACTTTCCTAAGCATAATGCAAGGCTGTAATGGTAATTCTCTGAAACCTTTATCATTTAGCCCCAGCCTTCTCTGTTCATTTCTTATCAGTCCCTTTAAAGTTCACCACAATTTTTATTGGTTGGAGGCAAACCTTGCAAAGACTGAAGAAACTGAAATTTAGGGAAGGACTTTATTTGGACAAGCTTAATTAACTTTTGGTGTTAGTTTACATCTCTTGTATTTTGGTATTATTAAATACTAGTATTTCTATACTTGTTTTTCCCCCACCATGGGGGGAGGGTGGGCTGGACACTTCATCTACTCTTCCTCTAGTGATAAGTTTTGACACAAGCTGTACAAAATTTAAATAATTCATTCATGATCTATGTGTAAGCACATTCTATGAGGGTATAAAGTACAACTTTTTCTTCTTTTTGCTTGGGTTTTAGGTCATTTGCAACATAGACATAAAGTAGGATACAATTTAAATATTGAAAAGTAATTTTTTTAACATTTTCTCTTTGATTTTTTTTCTTTTTGTAGTTGTAGATGGACAGCATGCCTTTATTTTATTTTATTTTATGTGGTGCTAAGGATTGAACCTCGCGCCTCACATGTGTCAGGCAAGTGCTCTGTCGTTGAGCTATAGCCCCAGTCCCCAAAAGTAATTTCAAATATAAGAACTGACTAGATATTTTGAAACATTTAAGAAATTTTGTTTGTCATCTCCCTTACTTTTCTTTACAAATTTGCCCTATAAGCATTTACTTATGAATAATATATTGTTTGGTTTTGCTTGCTTTTGCACTTGATAAAAATGGAAGTCTACCTAGAAATATTTAAGAATTTTTTTTCATTTGCAGTTGTTTTTGAAAAAATCTAAATTAATGTAGCAATACATTTTTACTGCTTTATAGCATTCTATTGAGTAAACATAAAAATTACTCCTTCTACTTCTGATGGGTTTTGAGTTCCTTGTCTCTGACTATTATAGTTGTTCTTGTGCCTGGTGTGCCTGTGCACATTTCTCTGGCATATACTTATAGTGGGGTTATTGGGTTAGGTATATGTTCAGCTTTACTGGGTAGTATCAAACTGAGCATTAATTTTTGTCATCACTAGTGGTTGCTCAATATTTTTGCTTATACTTGGTGTAATTTTTACCATTCTGGGGGATGGAAAATAATGTCCCATTTGTGTCTTTGCTTTGCATTTCCTTTGCATTTTCCTCCTGAGTTTGAGCATCTTTACAGGTGATTAGTGGCCATTCAGATTTCCTCATCTGTGAAATGTTTATGCTTTTGCCCATTTTTCTGTGGTTGTTTGGCATTTTCTTACTGGTCTATAAGAGTTTTTTATATATTCTAGATCCTTTTTTGGGTTTTGTTTTGTTTTGTTTTGTTTTTTTTTTTGGTACTGGGAAAACTCAAGGACACTCAATCCCTAAGCCACAGCCCCCAGTCCTTTTTTGTATTAAGAGACAGGGTCTCACTGAATGGCATGTGCCACTGTGCCCGGTTTATATTCTGCATCTTAATCCTTTATTGGTTGTATGTGTTGCAAATTCATATTGCTTTGCCTTTTTTTCCCTAAGCCTCTTTTCCTCATTCATTTCATTTGTCTCTTTTTTCATTTTTCTTATGATAGCTGCCCCTCTGTGTGTTCTGTAACAAAATATAATAAAGGCTGCACGCCCAACTCTGAAGGTAAATACTACCACCTAGCAATTTGTATATTTTGGGTACCTGCCAAAATCAAGTAAAACCAGGTGACTGTTTAGAAAGATAATATTCTAGCCTCCTGATGGTCATAAGTAATATAGAAAATCATGCTTGTGGTACTCAATATCTTTTCTAAAGAACAATATTTTTTTATTGTGAGATAAATTCTTAGAATAATGTTTGTATTATTTTTCTATTCTTTTTTCAATAATTAGATTAATTATAGGTTTGTTTTATTTTTGCCATGTTGGGATTGATCCCAGGGTCTTATTCATGCTAAGCATATCCTCAACCACTGAGCTATATACCTCCAGACCAACTAGGTTACTTAAAACAGGCATTAACAGGGCAAACTCCAGAATACATATGTGATACTCCTGTAATTTCCTAAACTTAATTTGTGTAATACTTTCCTTTATACATTGAATTAAACTCATGCCTMTTCCTCTCCATGCTGATATGCTTGCACTTTTTCTCCTCTTCTCCCTTTCCTCTTCCCCCTTCCCGTCACCTCTCTTCCCTCTCTTCTCCCTTCCTCAAATGCCCTCCCTCCCCTGCTCCTCTCTCCACCTCAGTTTGGAGCCCAGTTAATGATGATATCGGATATCTGTCTTCCACAGGGCTCAGAACTACCCTACYCCTCTCAAAACAATGGTCTATGCCCTTTTTCTAAACTTTACTCCTAACACACTCACATAGAGACTTTACTTGTAATAATTTCTGTTTTATAAACTTGCTTTTAAAGTGACTTATGCTCATTTCCTTCTAACATTGTAAAGTTTTTAATACATTGTATAGATTTAAATAACAGAGAAGCCATCATGAAAATCCTCTGCAAAAAGCCTGCAGCCCCTTGACACTTCCATAAACTTCTTGTTGGGAGAGGATTGGATCTATAGTTCAGAACCATTCTAAGCTAGGTCCAAGTGCCCCCTTTAAAAGAGTTGGATATATGTGTTTATAGGTCAAATGTTAACCTTGGACTTAAATAAAATTTAAATGGCCTGTTGATCAAGGAAAAAAGTACATTGTACCTACTTCTGTGAGTTATGACAAATTGCTGTATTTGAAGAGACTATTGATTATAAAGGACGAGCTTCTTAAAATTGCRGTATTTATTTAAAGTTGATTTGAGGTCCATAATTTTGATAAAAACATTAAATTATAGACAAGTATATTATGTTTTTAAAAAAGTTTTTTAGACGTTGATGGACCTTTATTGTATTCATATATTTATATGTGGTGCTGAGAATTGAACCCAGTGCCTCACACAAGCTTGGCAAGTGCTCTAGCACTGAGCCACAACCCCAGCTCCAAGTATATTATGTTTACTATGAGCATTTCATAGCAAACATCTTAGTGTTTAACAGCACCTGAGTCTCTACAGATAACAAGGGACATCATTTTATTTACTTCCTTTCCTTTTCCATATGTAATTTCTTATCTTGTAGTAGGCAGGGTTGGATTCCTCTCAAGTTGTCTAGGCCTTTCTGTAGTTTCCCATTTTGGTTAAATGAATCCATTAAATGATTAMATTATTGGAGCTGGGACTGTGGCTTAGAAGTAGAGCGCTCACCTAGCATGTGTGAGGCACTGGATTCATCCCCACCACCACATAAAAATAAAATAAAGGTATAAAAAATCATATCAATCTTTAAAAAATGATTAAATTGTTAAAATGGAACCAAAAATGAAAGTATTAAATAAAAACCTAGACTTGTCACAACCTTTAGAATTGTAGTTACATTTTGTTTGAGAAGGTTTATATCTATCATGAACATCTAGTGAGGTTTTGTAAGATGACCAAAGAGTTATTTGGGGATTGGAAATGTACACATACATCATTTTTTTAAAAAAATATTTAGTTTTTAGTTGTAGTTGGACACAATATCTTTATATTTTATTTATTTTTATGTGGTGCTGAGGATCAAACTCAGGGCCTTGTACATGCTAGGTAAGTGTTCCACCACTGAGCCACAACCCCAGCCCACATATACCATTTTTAAGGCTGAATATGTCTCTAACTTTGAATTTTGAAAAATGGCTGCTAAATGTTATACAGGGTATAAAAAAATCATATCAATCTTTAAAAAAATGATTAAATTGTTAAAATGGAACTGAAACTGAATCATCATTTTGATTTAAGGATTGGATCAAACCAGAACCCTGAGTCTGTCCCTATGAATACTATTGAGAGATTTCTTGAACTTGGTTATTTTTTTTCCCTGACCTTTTAATTTCTATATTTGGCCAAAAGGACATTATAGAGTGAAATAGAAGATAAACTTTAGAAATATTGGGAAAAGGAGTTATAGTGTTTCTATTCTAAATGTAAGCTCTTACTTGAATACTAACCAGTATTTAATTTCTAGGCAAGTAGTGGTATARGGATTAAGTGAATTTACAAAGAAAAAAGGGTAGACCCAGCTCTTAATGAAAACCAAAGTTTTGGGAGTAAATTTCCTAGGAAACCCATGTTTTCTTCATGTATCATTTATTGTTTAACACACAGAGGTAGCCAGCATTGAGCAGATTTTTACCTCCTTAACTGCCTTTCCCTGACCCCTGCATGTTATCACCTACTTGCAATTTGAAGAGAATACAGAAAAGATGAGAAAGCAGTGAAGGAATTTAATTTGATTAGCAATAAATTATACACACTTAGTAGTAGTCTGCCTCTATTTAGCTTCTTATCCACTTAACCTCTAAATGTTCAAATGTTAAAGTGCTTTAAGAATTTTCTTAGACCTTCTTCTCCCCATCTGTGCTCCCTAAGTGATTGCATTGAACTCTATAACTAGAAAACTACTAAGATTCTCTTTCTTTAGTCATCCTCAATTTTAGTCTCCTATGTTTGACTGCTGCCTAGATATCTCCACTCAGATGTCTCTTAGGCACCTCAAATTCAGTATGTACAAAAAACAGCAAGTGCTTGATTTTCCTTTGCTGTAAAATTACCATTCTTTCTCAGTCTTTCCCATCACAGTCAGAGTCACCRGCACTGGAGTTCACCTCACTGCATAAACCTAAAACTTGGAAACCATCTCTATTTATTTTTCTTTAGTGCCTTCACTCCATCAGCCCAACTTCTTTGTGCCTCAGTTTTCTCACTGTAAAATTAAATAATACCTTTTAAGTAATATGTTGGGGGTTGGTACAGTGCGGGCCTCGCATGCACAAGTCCCTGGGTTCAATCCCCAGCACCACCAAAAAAGTAATATGTTGGGGGATTGAAGAAGTAAATCAATGAAGTCTTAAAATAGAGTCTGGCATTTAGTGTAATTCATTATGCCATTGTTGTTGTTACTTTTTTCTCCCCCACAAAGGAAACACCCTAGTCTAAGCCACCATCTCTCCCATGGTCCACTAAGGTAACTTTCTGATTTCCATGCTTTAGTTCTTTTTTAAAATTATTATTATTGTTTCTTTTTAAGTTACACATGACAGTAGAATCCATTTTGATATAATTATACAAGTATGGAATATATCTATTCTAATTAGGATTCCATTCTTGTGAGTGTACACGATGGTGGGATTCACTGTGGTGTATTCATATATGTACATAGGAAAGTTATAATATATTGATTCCACTCTCTTTCTTATTCCCCCTTCCTTCCTTCCATTCTCCTTTATCTAYTGAATTTCTGTCCACCCCCATATCCCCATGCTTTTATTCTTGTTCTGCTATAATTCATTCTCCATAGAATCCAGGGCATTTTTTTAAAAAGATAGATCATGTCTAAAAATAGATCATGCTTTACATCCTTTAGTAGCTTCCCATTGCTCTTAGAATAAAGCCCCCACACAGCACTGCACAACCTGGCTTGTGTTTTTATGCCAATCTTGCTCATTATGTTCCAGAATCCTTTCTGTTCCTCAGATTAACCATGCCCTTTCTTTTCTTCAGRTTTTTGTATTTGCCATTCCTTCTGTTTGGAATTTTCTTCTACCAGCTCTTAGCATGTCAACTCATTTGCATTTGGTTTCAACCATTTATTATCTCGGTTATATTTCTTGCCTATTCTTAGCAAAATCACCTTCCTGTTACTTTCTTATATTACTCATTTTCTTCTTGGCTTTTATGATGTATAGTTGTTTATGCATTTACTTATTATCAGTCTCACCATCTATCAAAAATATTAATGTAGCTAGTTGTGTGATAATATAAAATTCTTGGAAAACTATAGTGAAAGGAAAAATAAACTACCTTTCTTCAGCTCCCAGATGCACACACACAAATACACAAAAAAATCATGCATGTGCAGGCATGTATAATAGGTGATAGCAAGAACCCATAAAGTTTATTTGAAAGTCATTACAGTTCAGAATAAAATTCATGAATTTTACTGTTTAGTAAGACTTTTAAACAGTAAAATTCATGAGTTARATAATTTTGTTTAATAAAACAATTCCAACTAGTTTGGTCACTGATACTACTAAGTTCTATTAGTGACTATCTTGGGGCACTTTCTACTTAACTTGGAGGGCAGAAACTTTTATGTCTTATTTCCTGAAGTGCCAATCACATAGTGGATGTTCAGAAAATATTTGTCATGACTGATAAATATCTAACATTCTACTATTTATCATGAATGACTATCTCTAACAAGGAAGAACTATATAAGAGAAGTTGAAGAACTTCTGTTGCAAGTTTTTTGTTTTAAAAATCTTCTGTGATAAAGATTATTATTGATAGCCACTCGTTGAGAATTTTACCTGCTTTGTGTTTCCAAACTTACATTCCTCCTAAATAGACTGAAAAATTTGTCTGTCAGTGTTCCAAAGATAAAAGTAGGTTGTGATTAGATGCTATATGAAACTTTAATTTCTTTCATCTGTCATAAACTTTTAATTTCTGTCACATAATAAAGGAATTGAAGTAGGTCTGTTCCAAGAAAACGGTCCAGGTTCTGCAGGGTCTTATATCATAATGTGATAGGCAACCCCTTTTCTGTTGCCCGCATTGTGGAGTGAGCTGCTCTATGCCAGATCTATTCAGGTGCCTAACCACTGACGCTGATGTATCTTGATGTTTCCTTCTAACATGGAATTAATAATCTGTGAATATATTATTCTCAAAGTATTTAAAAGGGTTTTTGGGGCTGGGGATGTGGCTCAAGCGGTAGTGCGCTCGCCTGGCATGCGTGCGGCCCGGGTTCGATCCTCCAGCACCACATACAAACAAAGATGTTGTGTCCGCCAATAACTAATAAATAAATATTAAAAAAATAATAATAAAAAAAATAAAATAAAAGGGTTTTTGGATCACTTTCAAATAAATAGACTGAATATCTGTACTGAGGAAAAAAATACATGACACCTGCAAATTCCCTTCTGTAAGTTACTTGAGGAGAATCTCTTTGAATGCCCAAAATAAGGCCAAAGTAGTAATGACAATTTTTATATAAGGTAAGAAAATGAAAGAATTCCATTCATACCTATCTGTTCATTTTAGAGWAGTTATCTGGTTGTGCCTGTAAGAGGTGGCTATGTGCTGTAGACAAAAATAAGTGAGCCTTCATAGTCAAAGGGCTCAAGACTCTTCAGACTACCTTCAGCAGAAGGCTGGAGACAATGCAGATTGTAACCAGATGTTGTTTAGAATTGAAATTAATAGGGAGTGAAGAAGTCGTAAATCTTTAATCCATGCCTTAGTAGTTCTGAAATTTCCATCTTAAGCATTAAAATTAATCTTAATACAATTCTAGCCTTAGAATGGGGGAGCCCTCTCTAAGTTTGGCAGACACAAGGAGTCTCTAACTCAAGTAATGACTAACTATAATCAAGATTTTTTTTAAGTGTTTTCTTTCATATAGTTACAGGAAAATGCACCCATTAGTCAAGAAATCCAGACTCTTATTATAATATTTCTGTGAGTTGTAGTCAAATAGACCATTTGCAATTTTCTTTCTTTCCTCCTCCACCCCAACTAGCATGGATCCTGATGGGTCTGTACAAGATCCTGAAGATAAGGAATATTCTTCTGTCTGTGTTGGCAGAGAAGATGACATTAAAAAATCTGAAAGAATGACAGCTGTTGTCCATGACAGAGAAGTGGTCATTTTCTACCATAGAGGAGAATATCATGCTATGGATATTCGCTGTTATCGTAAGATTTTATTTTTATTTTTTCTATACAAATTGTGTTTATGAGTCATAAAACTATCAAATTTCAGGATTTTAAATGACTACATGTAATATTCAATTACTTTTCAGATTCAGGAGGACCTTTACATTTGGGAGAAATAGAGGTATGTAGAATTTATTCTCAACAAACTCAGATGTTTCCTATTTACATTCTTGCATTTCATTCTTTATTCAAAAATAATGTATATTTGGATTTAATTATATTTCAGGGCCTTTAATGTAATTGCAGATATTTTTGGTATTCATAACCCTACAATGTAAGGAAAACCATTTTGCAGATAATATAAGAACTATGCATGTCTTTGACCTAACAATTATACTCTGAGATATCTATCCTATGAATATAATTGCACATTGTTTGTCTCTTTATAGGAAAGGTTCATTTTAGCATTGTTTATTATAACAAAACATCGAGGTCAACCTAAACATTTTAACAATAGAAAGCTGATTAAATAAATTGTAGTACAGTCATGCTGTGGAATACCATATGACCATTAAATTAATGAGGCAGAACTACATGTGCTGGTATTGAGGAATGTTAACAGTGTATTTGTGAGTGATAAAACAAGTCCTAGAATAGTACTTCTAATGATATTTCATTTTTATATTAAAAAGAATATACTCTTTTTACTTTATACTTTGTATGTTTTTATAATGAGCATATATTTTATAAAATAATATTTCTTAAAAATTTTAAAGAAATTACACTTTGAAGTCTTAACTAAAGAATAATGGAGGAATTACCTTTGCTTCCTTGTATTCCAAACTAATCACTTTATTTCTTCTATCCCTGTCTCTCTACTTCTCTATCTATAACTGGCACAAAATACAAACCTGAACTTAGCATTTCACTGTCTCTACACTTGATGTCCACCTGGTGGCTGGCAATGTAGCCCAGTGGTAGAGAGAGAGCTTGCCTACCATGCATGAGGTCCTCRGTTCAATCCTCAGTACCATGAGGAAAAAAATACAAACAAAACAGAATTTAACTTGATATCCACCCTGGTTTATACCTGTCCTCATGTTAAAGGACATATGTATGTTTAAATTATGAAAATGTGTCTGCTGACGGTGCTATGAGGGGGAAAAAATCAGTATTTCTAAATTTTGTGTAGAGGAAAAATGTAAGCACCTACTTATCATAATGTCAGAATTTCCCCCAGTTCAGTTCATAATGAGAGCTTTAAGACCTTGCTATCCAAAGTGTGATCCACAGCCCAGATTCTTGGAGMATATTGGCATGGAGAATATTGCACCAATGCTGTAAGCTTTCTGAACTTAAACAGCACTGCATTTAAACAAGACCCAGATGATTCCCATTCTCCTTCAAGTTTGAGAAGAACCTCACTAAGACACAGTTACAAAGTTGGAATCACAAATTGCTTTTCAATTAACATTTGCACTCCTGCTTTTAATAACTCCTCCTGAATTCATATCTGGAACTTACAGTTCTTCCTGCAGCTACTGAAAGTTCCTTCAGAAGTGCTGGAAGCCTTTCCCCCACTTCTGTAGAGATGACATTGACAGATAACAATGCTGCAGTCTTGGTATAATTTGCCTGAGCAAGTCATCTTCTGATAGAGCTCTAACACACTGGGTTTCTAATCAACTGCAAAAAGGACTTAATGACTCTTCTCCAGTTAGGTTATGCTTTATGCTGAAAAATTTGTAARTGGAGGGGGAATAAAAGCTGACCTGTTCTTTAACTTAGCTTTTCTGCATATATTCTGTACTAAGTCCGAGGTTATCATGAACATTTGAAATGTCCAGACTATTAAATCAGTTATTTCTTTCCCCAGGATTTTGATGGACGACCATGTATAGTTTGCCCCTGGCATAAATACAAAATTACTTTGGCAACAGGAGAAGGATTATACCAGTCTAAAAACCCTAAAGATCCATCAGCAAAACCCAAGTGGTGCTCCAAAGGAATAAAGCAAAGGATTCATAGAGTGACAGTGGATAATGGGAATATTTATGTGACTCTTTCTAAGGAACCCTTTAAGTGTGACTCTGATTTTTATGCCACTGGAGACTTCAAAGTAATTCGGAGTTCTTCCTGATAAAAATATATGACAATGAAAAGTGTTGTGTATGTGTGGAAATATTTTTATAATAACTTTGCTTCCATACCAAAGATGATTTTTTTCAACACAGGTACAATTATTACTTATCTTTAAAAATCACATATCTATGAGAGTTTAAAAGTTCATGTATTTTGTATGATTTAAGTATTACCAACAGAATACATCCAAAAAAAATTTTTTTTTTGTATTGTGAATTGAACCTAGGGACACTGAGTCATATTTCCATCCCTTTTTTTATTTTTTGAGACAAGGTCACCATTAGTTGTTTAGGGCCTCACTACATTGCTAAGGCTTGCTTTGAACTTGTGATCCTGCCTCAACCTCCCTAGCCACTAGGATTACAGGCATTCACCACTGTGCTCAGATTAAATAAAAGTTTTTTTGTTTTGTTTTGTTTTTTATTTTAGAAAACTTTGTGCATGTGTGCACAACAGGTGGTTCACCCTGATTTAACTACATTATTTATGTCCAGTGCTATTCTATTAAGAATAACGCTCTGGATGCCAATCATGCCAATTATGCTTCAAGATGGAATAACAGAGCATAAGTATTAAAAATAACACTCTGGATGCCAATTATGCAAAACTCAGCAACACATTGTAGAATGTAATGGGTATCTTATGAATTCAGTACTGTTAAGAATGTCTCAATGAGTAGTAGAATAGTCTCAATGGTAGTCTCAATGGTAGTCTCATGGTAGTCTTCATGATTTAAGATCAAATTAAGAGTTCAAATATAATGCTTAACATTCTAAGGGGCCTACTTGGCCTCTTGGTTATTTGTAAAAATAGTGAATGTGGTATGTAAAAAAGACTTCTTACTATATATAGTAATATATGTATATATGTATGTATGTATATATATTATATAGCCTTTGCTATATATTATTATGTTTCCTGTTGAAATCTGGGTACCACGAAGTAATACATTTGTTATTGACTTCTCAGGTTATTAACAAGAGAGTTTGGGGCTTTTATGAATATTGTTTATATAATATATTGTTTATAACAGCAGCTACTCACCAGGTATAGAAAATGTACCATCTCTGAGGTGGGTTCATCCGAGCCTATTATATCAGGTGCAAATCCTTGAATGACCACTAAGGTCTTATCACAAGTTCACAATTTAAAATGTACAGAAGAGCCAGGCATGGTGGCACATGCCTGTAATCCCAGCTGCTTAGAAGACTGAGCCAGGAGGATGGCAAGTCTGAGGCTAGCCTGGACAATCTAGTGAGACCCTGTCTCAAAATATAAAAGATGGGGGAACTGAAGATATAGCTCAGTGGTAGAGTACCCATGGATTCAGTCCCCATTGGGGTAAGGGAAGAGTGCACAGAAGAAACCAAAATGTCTCCTGCAAGCAAACACTATCAGCCTTGTTTGCAGGGCCAGTTTCAAAAGGATTTGTTCTTAGGAGCCAATGGCAATAATGGTTTCTGGTTCTAAATTTATGTCAGAAAAAAAGGTAACATTGCCTGGTACAGTATGGCTGGCACCCATAGTCCCAGCTACTTGAGAGGCTGAGACAAAAGGATTCCTGGACGCAGGAGTCTGTGGCCAGCCTAGGCAACATTATGAGACCTAATCTCTTAAAAAAAKAAAAAACAAAAAAAGGTGTGTAGGGGGTCTTCATATACAGAAATCTTATCAGATTTGTAAATAATATTTTATGGCATTTGTAAATTGGAAGTCTTTCATAACTTTACAAGTAAGTTTATTAAAAAATTGGTAGGTAGACTCAAACTGTGAAGCTTTCAGATAGAAAATAAATATCCTTTTATTATCCCTGAAAAGGGAATTTTTTTCCTCTCAGACACCAAAAACAAATCTTTAATAAAAGTATTATATATATGCTGATATTATAAACCTTGGTATAAAGTATAACCCACCAAAAGGAGAATTTTTTGTTTATTAAAAATACTGATAATCATATGTTTATTATACATCAAGATTCATTTTATTTTCTCTACCATATAAATACTAGAGAATGACAGTTGCATAGTAGTATCCCCCATCCTCACCCTGGAGCTTTTTTTTTTTTAAGAGCAGAGCATTTGGTATATGTAAACTAGCTTCCTAGTTTTGTCAGATGAAATGTGCCATTTCATAGATAATTCAAGGTCTCTGCAGTGATGTTTGTGTTTAGATTTCTTCATTCATTTATTTCAGCTGATTGGTCAAACACCGAATGTAAAACCTGGATCTTATTACTCTGCTTATTAGCAGGAAGCTTGGGGAGATCTGAAATGTTGTCTGGCTTCTCCGACAATGACCTGTAAGGTTTTGCTTTGATTTCACCTTCAGGAAATGCAGGCTCCAAAATCACAGGCTCTGAAAAGGCTTTTCTAAAATTTTCACTCTCTGTGTTTTGCCTTATGGATTCTTCTTCTTGGAAAATGTGCTTTACCTTCTCCAGCACAGCATTAATGCAGACTGCCTATATAATTTTCAAAAATTTTGAAAAGTGAAGTCTCTTTTTAAACTACTAACAACCACAGATWAAAAAAGGCAATAAAATATTTAGCATAAATAATCTACATATTCTAATAAAACAGAACTTCCTTTCAGAAAGCACTTGGTATATGGTAAGTATTGGGAGATTGGTTCCCTGTTCTAAGTACATAACACCAAATTCTAAAGAGTATTTAAAACCTAGTATGCTTCAGTTAAAATGTGCTTTACATCTTTTTTCCCCTCAATTCATTAGCTGTTTCCCTTCTTTATTCTTCTGACTAAATATAATGAAACATTTTTTGAGAGATGGAATTTGTTCCCAAACATTTCAAAGTTGGCTTTTTGTTTTAATTTCTTCCTCCCAGACTTTGCTTGTACCTGTGTGTACAATGGGAAGGACATAAACATTTTGGTAAGAATTTAGTAAGCTTGCAAATCAGTGATTTCTAAGCAAACACATGACCCAATTTCCACCTAAAAAAAAAAAATGGCATTCAGTGCTTCAAGGAGAAATGTCTCAAACAATTTTAAAAATTAGAGTCTCTAAGAAGGATATTCACTAAATTTCCCCTGTGAGTTTTCTAACAATGAAAATGATGATGATGATGATGTCAAGTAGTTAAGGCAAGCAARGAGAATAGAAATTTCTATGAAACATGAACTTAAACTAGTTTATTATACAAAAGAAATGCTTCAAGATGGAATAACGGAGCATAAACACAAAAGGTTTTCTTGAAGAGGTAGTAGCAATAGCAGAGAGAGAAACGTGTCACAGTAGATTGGGTAGAGAGAGGTGATGGGAGGGGAGGGTAGCAGAATACAACAGACACTAGTATGGCTGTATAACCAATGTCATACTGCAATCTGTACACGTGGAAAAATAAGAATTCATACCCCATTTGAATCAAATGTATGATATGTCAAGATCATTGTAATGTTTTGAGCAACTAATTAAAAAAAAKGTAGTAGCAAAAAAGGCTGAGAGACTCAGGCTTTGAAGAAGTTCAGCTGGATCCTGCCCACTTGCCTGCCTGCCTCTTATAGAACACAGGAGCACAGCTTTTCCACACTTCTCCAGTTAGCGTGTGGCCAATGAAATAAAATGATATGTCTGCTGGGAAAGAGGTCAGGAAGGGTATTTGGAAGTTTTTCCTCCTACCTAAAGAGAAAGATCTTTGTCTTTTGCCTCTATCTTCCCCTTCCAGCTTTAGACACTGATATTGAGGTGATGCCTGAGCATGAGGTAACAAACCTAAGGACTAAAAACAGTTTTTAGAGAAAAAGGTAGAAAGACYTAGATGTCTTAATCTGTTCATATTGCTATCACAAAAATATTATAAACTGAGTATCTTATAAACAATAGGATTATTTATCAGTTCTGGAGATTAGAAAGCCCAAGGTCAAGGTGATGGCAGGCAGATTCTGTCTGGTGAGGGCCTGCTTTGTTCATAGATGGTGTCTTTTAACTGTGTATATATGGTAGAAGAGAAAAAGACAACTCTCAGGGACTTTTTATAATATAAGGGCACTAATCCCATTCATGATGCCTAATAATTTCACAAAGATCCCACCTACTAATATCAAACCTTGGGGGTTAACATACAGATTTGCAGAGGACACATTCAGACCAGAGCACCTGGTTTCTTGATGGCATTGTAGATCCCACTATACAAAATTAGGAACTGCCTAACTAACTACGGACTTCTAATTAAGATGATTAAATGTCAGTAACATATTTTTATATTTTTTGGTACTTGCATTTTGAATGTGCCCAAACCCAGAGCTAGAAACTTTCAAATCTATCACTTCTAACAACACATAATCTCATCCACATAACCCAATATGATCATTTACTATGCTGTATTGTGAAAAAAAAAAAATTGTAAAGTTCTCTCTTATTTGATATTCCCTCTTTCATCATCTACAAAATTATATCTATGCCCATTTTAAGGAACTTTACTCCAGTCTCAGAAAACGAGTTTTGATTGAGGTCAGTATGCCTTTCTTTGTTTTAACCTGTACCCTACCAATTTCTCTGTCGGTTGTTCCTTTTCTCTTCAACCTGTCACTCTTTTTTTTCCTAGTACCGGGATTGCACTCAGGGGCACTMGACCACTCAGCCACCTCTCCAGCCCTATTTTGTATTTTATTTAGAGATGGGTTCTCACTGGGTTGCTTAGTGCCTTGAAGTTGCTGAGGCCTGTTTTGAACTCATGATCCTCCTGCTTCAGCCTCCTGAGCTGCTGGGATTTTATGTGCAACCTGTCACTCTTGACTGGCTCTTCCCCTACAATACTCATGAATAATCTTCCATCCTAAAATTGGAATTCCCTGCAGCCCTGTCTCTCTCTTGACTTCTATATAACTTTCTCCTCTAAGTCAAACCAGTTGATGTTCTTGGTTTCCATTTTATCATCTCCTATTCACTCTAAAACCTGTTTATTTCTGTCTTTCTTATCCCAGAATGTCACTGAACTAGTTCTCAAAATGATTAAGCTTAGCATCTTAAATACTAGACCTGATATACTTTTCAAATCTTTCTTTTACTTGATCTTTTCTGCTTGTATTTGATAACAATTCACACCTTCCTGAGTCTCTTTATTTCCTTGACACCATTTTTTCCTGATTCTCTTCCTGCTTTTCTGAGTGTTGCTTTTTTGTCTCCTTCATAGATAAATTCCTTCTTAGTTCACCTTAAATGTTGCTATTTTCCACATTTCTATTGACTGCATTCTTTGCACTTGGCATGGTTCCACTCATGTGGTATTAATCTCCAATACATGTGTTATTTATTTTTAAAACCATAATTCCAACCTTGGCCTCTTTCAGGCCTTGGATGCTTATCTGATCAATTAACAGTTCACTAAGAGGTTTTTATTATTTGCTTGTAAAATTTATAGTGTTACAAACTGGGATGGTTTCAAACAGGCTTTGAGAATCTGAAGTTTAATTTTGGTTTTAGTTTAGTTGTTATTTTCCTATACTCATCCATCCTACTATATTTGTAGAGTACTTACATCTTAATTCAATTGATGCCAATTTTATACAAGATTCATATTTAAGATATTGAGAACTTCTCAAAAACATAAAACATTTGCAAAATATTTGATACATTCAAGATTTTTTTAAAACATGAAATAACATGTTTAAAAGCAAGTTGTAGTTTTTCAAGAATGTCTTGGGGTTTTTTTTTTTTTTTTCTTTTTGGTGCTGGGAATTGAACCTCATGCCTGCTAGGTAAGTGCTTTACCACTGAGCTATCCTTGCCAGCCTTTAAACACTTTTTTTTTTTTTTAAGGGTCTCACAAAGTTGCCCAGGTTGGCCTTGGATTTGCAATCTTCCTACATTAGCCTCCCTAGTAGCTGGGATTACTGTCATGTACCACTAGGGTGCAGCTGGGTGTGCAGGTTTAGATATTCTTAGCCTTTTGCATTTCCCTAAGTATTTTAGAATCAACTTATACACACACAACTGCTTGGATTTTAATTGGGACAGGTATAAATTTATAGATTGTGGGGGAAAGATTAATATCATTTGTTTTGATATAAAAATATGTAAGAATTCCAGCAAAACATAAATTGATTATGAGAAATTAAAGATCAAAATAAATAGATACATATGTTCCTGTATTAGGAGAAGGACTTATTCGGTTATCAAGACATCATATAAGGCTCTGTAATATAGTGCTAAATTGGTGCAAAAATAGACAAACAGGCCAACTATAAAAAGACCTACATAAAAAGACACTTGATTTATRATTTTTAAAAAAGGGGTGGGGGTTCTTCTAGGACAATAGAAAAAAGACTTTTGTTTTCTGAGAAATTGAGGTAAATCAGTTGGATACTCATGGGGAAAAATATTTGGCCCTTTTCTCAAACCAATTTCACATGGATTTTAAATCTAAAAGTGGAAGGCAAAATAATATATTTTCTAGACTACAATAGGAGAATATTTTTGTGGCCTTGGGTATAAGTTGAGATTCTCTAATTAGGATACAAAGTCTTAGCAAAAAGGAAAACATTAATAAATTGAACTATATTAAAATGAAGAAAATGAGTGGTAAGAGAGTGAAAAAGCAAGTCACAGGATAAAAACAGAAATTTGCCCATATATAATCTCAAGAGGACTTTCTCCTATAATATATTTTTAAAGTACAAATCAATAATTTAAAAAATTTGATCTCTCAACAGAAAAAGAGACTTTAACAGAAATGCACAAAGGAGGATATCTAAATATCCATTTAATGAATGCAAATCATTGAAATGAAAATTAAAATCACAATGAACATAATACTACATACCCACAGAAATGGCTGAAATGGAAAATATTGACAATACCAAGTGTCTGTGGTAATCTAAAGTAATTACGATTTTTATAATGTGCTAGGATTAGTGTAAATTGCTACAAACTATTTTGGAAAACTGTTTTGTAATACCTACTAGAGATAAACACATGCATACTCAATGACCTAAAAATTTCACCAAAAGATATGTACAATAATATTTAAGGTAATCTTATTCATAATAGTCCAAAGTGGAAATACTCCAAATGCTCATCAGCAGTTGAAGTGGTAAAATAATGATGATAGAGGGAATACTACATGGCAATGTCAATGAACAAACTATTGCTACAGACAACAAATGARTCTCACAATGATGCTGAGCAAAAGAAGACAAACACAAAAGATTATAAGCTATATTATTTCATTTACCTACAGTTTAAAAGCTGAACTATCATGGTAGTGGCTGCCTTTATAGAAAAGGGTAATGAAGGGGCTGGAGTTATGGCTCAGTGGTAATGTGCTTGCCTAGCATGTGTGAGGCACWGGGTTCCATCCTCAGCACCACATAAAAATAAATAAAATAAAGGTATTGTATTCATCTACAAGTAAAAAGAAAAATTTTAAAAAGGGTAATGATTTTAAGTGTAAAAGAAAGAGATTTCTAGAATGATGGTAATGTTTTGCTTCTTTACCTGATTACTGCATAGATTAATAGATTTTGTGATAATTCATCAAGCTGTGCACTTTTCTCTGTTAGAAGTATTTTTAAAGTAAAATATAAATGGCTATTGATTAACAGAAAATAAAGCCCTTATAATGGATAAAATCTTCAATATTTTTGTCATGTACAGCACTTGTCATCAAAATATTATATGCTAATATTTGTATTCTCCAAATTCATAGACTCAAAAATGATGAATGCTGAACGCAGCTATCATAGGATATAATAAATGGAACAAATGTAGCTAAATGAAAGCAAAAACTAAAATGTCTTGACCAAAAGCCTTCCAACAGTAATAAACTTTCTGACAATAATTTTAGTTATTAAAGAAAATTGATTTTTGTTGGATCATTTGGCTCCTCAGAAAGTATCAAACATGAAATTATTTTTGTGTTACAAGAGAATGGTACCTTAGTTTGTGAATAGTATCATAAAAGATAACATCATATAGCACACAATTGTATAGTATTATCTTTAACATTGCTTAAAATAAGTTATATTTATTTCTAGATTCCAATAGAACTTACCAAATAAATTAGTGCTGCATATGAAGCATATATTATGCTAGTTAAAGCAGTCTTTGCTGGAAAGGAAACGATATCACACAAAGAACCCTTTCTGACCTGCAAAAATAGAAAAGATATTCTTATTAAAACAAAAATTTCCAATGTTTCAGTGTTCTATTTTACTATGTTATTACARAATGAGAATTTAAATTTTTATTTTTRAAAAAGTCATCTACATTGCAACTATCTGGACTTATTTCCACATTTTGAAAATATATAGTTTTTTTTAACTTTTAACAAGAAAATACTTTCTACTAATCAAGACCTATGACAAATCTATAATCTTGCATTTTTTGAAATTCTTTAAACCTTTTATGATTATAAACTGTGCTCACTAGGAGGTGCTGCTGTGCATATTTGAAAAAAACAGTCTTTTCTTTGTTCAAATTTATATAATCAGTCCTTACTAAATTATTCACAACCTCAGTGAAGCAAACAGCAATCAAAATACTAAGCATTTCCCGGAGATTAATGATCTGCTTGGATATGTTAATCATGAGACTGCTAAAGGCCAGCACTGACTTTAGATGGTCATTAAGCTTCAGGAAACCCTCTGTTATATCCAGCTTGCTAYTTCGAAGGTTATGCCAGCCAGTAATGAATTTGCCTCTCAGTTTTTTCTAGTTTCTGGTACTAGATGTCCCTACTTTAAACATATCAGTATAACATATTCAGTTTATGGGAACTATATTATCTTACAGGCCACCTCTGTGTTCTTGAGCAGGCTATGAAATGAAAACWTTAGGAAAACATTCCCTTCCCGCTCAGCAGTGAGGTGGCAGTTAGCCATGTTCCTCCGAAGCAAGAGCCAAGCCACTCAGTGGTTTCGATGAACTCCCAAAAGGTACAGACTGTGGCTAATAAAATCATGTAAATTCACAGTAGAAAATGCACACAAACTCGAAAGAACAGTGTGTACCATGTTTGTTAAAAAGTTATTTATAGCATTGAAAGTGAAGTAAGCCAATCCCAAAAAGCCAAAGATGGAATGTTCTCTGTGATTAGTGGATGCTGATGCAAAATGGGGGAAGGGAGGGGCATGGGAAAAATGGAGGAACTCTGATTGGGCAAAGGGGAAGGAGGGGAAGGGAAAGGGTATGGGGGCAGGAAAGATGGTGGAATGAGATGGACATTATCACTCTAGGTACATGTAAGACTGCACCTATGATGTGACACTTTTGTGTACAACCATAGAAATGAAAAGTTTTGCTGCAATGGTGTACAATGAATCAAAATGCATTCTGCTGTCAAATATACCCGATTAAAATAATTAATAAAAAACACGAAAGCAAGTAGGTCTTTWAAAAAATGAACTATGTGCTTCATAAATGTTCTCTTTAATTCTTGAAACAATCCTACAAAGTTGTTGTTGTTATTATTATTATTATTCCACAAAAAGAAAAAAGAGAAATAGGTAATATAGTTGGCAAGTAGTAAAGTTAGATTTAAGCCAGGAATCCCATTCCAGGGTCTGAACCCTTCATCTGATCATTAAGTTGTGTTGCCAACACAGTTGTATTGCCTTGGAATTTACTGCTTATGAAGAATGGAAAGGGACTGTATTGTAATAGCTAATATTTATCTCATGGGTTTGCTGTTAAATAAGAAAATGCTTATAAAGTGCTTAGCAGGATACCTATGTATGAGTAGCAATAAGGAGCTTGGTAGACATGATTAATATTATTAGTACCTTAAGAGATGGGAAAGAGTTAAGTTCAAAATCATAAGCCTAAGAAATTATTCAATTCCAAACAAAAATAAGYCAAATTAATCTGTACGATGTCAAGAAAATGGGTATTCCCATCAAGAGTGAGATTAGTGACTGGAAGGCAGTATGARATTTTGGTGGGAGGTTGTTATGGGTGACTTGAACTGTAGATTGTGTTTAGTTTATGAAAATGCATTGAGCTGTATGCATAGTGATTTGCATTTATTCTCCATATTTCAATTTAAAAGTTCAAGAATCATGTCTAGTATTTTTATGATAAAATAAACAACTTTGCATAGAAAAAATCTGGACAGAAGTGTAACAAAATTTTGATAGCTTTTATGATTTAGTCATATAGCTTTGTAGTCTTAACATTTACAGAACACTCATACACCAGGTTCTATCCTACAGCTTTACTTGCACTGCCTCATTTTATCAACAAATCTATGAAAGGGTAACACAGGTTCAGAGATTAAATTCTTTGTTTTCTGTTTTTTTTTTTTTTTAGTTAAATTGAAAGAGTATATGGTATTTTTTTACAAATGAAACAATTAAAATATAAGTGAACTTTGCATCCTGTTATAGTGTTTATATAGTAAGTTTTTGCTTACTGCTACCATTATTAAATGAAGAATAAAATTGTTTATCACAGTCTTCTTGCCTCTCTCTTATGTGGTTTATGGAATGCTGAAACCAAGAATACCAYCTGCCTATTAGCGGAGAGTGTTGCAGAGAGCCTGTTTCCTTTCTTCTTCCTTTCTCTTCAGGCCATACTAACTCCTAGATATAGGGGTAGGTATGACTCCCTGTATAAGTCAACTTGGAAAATTTCCCAGAGTTCCTAGCTTCAGCAAAGTTTCCAGGAAATGAAGTAGGAGTTGCTTTTTCCTTCTTGCTGGAAGAACCAAAATGACAGAATGCCTCTGAATCTAACAGTAAGACTGTACAAGGAGACAAGCATACAAGTAGAGAGCAGACTTTTCAGGAGAAAGAAAAACAGACACACCCCTACAAAAGGCTTCTTCACAGTGTGAAGATTCATATGAATGCTGTCCATATTTGACAGTAGGCCATATGCAATTAAGTAAAAGTGGGTCTGCATGAGAAATTACTCTTTCTCTCTGTTTTGCTACATCTTTCTCAGATTCAGTCTTTCACTTTATAAGTAATTAAAATTGATTAGTTTCAAAATAAATTATGAAAACAATATATGTTATGCTTCTGAACAATTTATCTGTATATTGCCTAAGGGTCATTTTTTTCCACTATTTTATTGCTTTTAACAAATACTTTCTATTTCTGCAACAAATCATTCTTGTAGAAAATGTATTTCCTCCAAAATTTATGTGTCTACTGGCAAGTAGCCATTTTTCAATTTTATGACTTGCAGTACATATTTTTCATATTATAAACCATCCTGTTTCATTTTGGCTTGCTTTTAGTAGGAATAGTATATGGTCAAAACTGAGATAAATAAACAGGAGAATTTTGGTAAATGGGAATCTTTATTTAAATTGTCTTGGCTTATTTAAATTTTTTTCTCTTAACCGTGTTATATTAATTTCATTTTATTTGCATATGTGAGTTAAAAATATCTTAGTATCAATGTTATGTACATATGTCATTGTTGTGGTCCTCCTCCTCCTCCTCTTCTTTTCTTCTTCTTATTTGGGAACATTAACATATACAATAGGCATATATGTTAAAAAAATGTATATATTAAAATTTTTTCAACCTATAAACTTCTTCCATATAATTTTGACTGCCTCATTTCATAAAAAAAAGTATCTGTGTTCGTTTTTGGTTTTTTACTAATAATGACATAAATTACAAGAAAGTTGAAAAAATAAAGAAAATAAAGATCCACATATACATGATCTAAAGGTTGGAGAATTACCAGGCCTGACTTAGATTGTGTCCAAAATCACCTTGATGAGCTATACAAGGAGAGGTTTAGAGAAACTCTAGCTTGATTATTTACCAACAAACATTGCAAGAACACTGACTGCTGTTAATAGATAAAGTATGGGGGCACGGATGTTTCCTATTAARTTGCAAAAGCTTCATGATCATGTCTTTGTTTAGCGACCTCAGAACACCCAAGAACACAGGCAAGATTCCTAGCAGTTCACAGTGAAGAAAGCTGTTTGACTTTGTTTAGCTCAGTATTAACACCCTGTAGAACCTTGTTTTTGAGCATGCTTTTAATCAGGTGGTCCTGTAAAGGTCAAATGTCCCAACTTCTTGGTACACTTGGAGAGGTCCTACTTTCTAGGAAATATCTTTTTTCCCAGGTCTGAATCATACTAGCCAAGTTAGACTCATGGCAGTCCCATTAAGGATGCACAGAAGTTCCTAATATTTGTATGATTTAGAAATATCCCAAACTGGAATCTACCTTGGAATGTCAGTAATGAGAAAGACTACTTTAGTTATTGTCAGCATCCTAATKAAAGTACTTATTTATCTTCATGTTCTTTAGGAAAGTGATCTATGAGACAGTACTAGTAGAACCATTTAAGAGGTTTATTTTTCTTTCATATATAAACTTCTAACCTCCTTCCTGAAAAGAGATCACCAGTTCACTGGGATGAAATGAACTGCCAGGCATTGTGAAGGCTGAGGGTTTGCTTCACATTTGCCCATATCATACCTTATACCACTCCACAATGCCTACACAAAATAAAAACAGTCATCTCAGATGGCTTTATAGAGATAACTCTGTCACAGGAAGAGCTCCTGGTCCTGTGGCCGGGCATTGGTCTGCCAGAATCAACAACTATGTCTGGGAGCTGACGTGTCTTGGCTAAAGTCAGCATTAAAGCTGATTATCTAGGTCACTGCAGGGAGAGCAGCTGCAGGCTTCACTCAGCCAGGCAGTTTTTAAAGCTGGGCAGATGCACCATTCTGTAAATATAGGTGCTGGGGATGTCGGAAACCTCCAGGGAATTCTCTGCTCAGTTTTTTCCATTTCTGAGGCCTCACAGGCTAGCTGCTGTTCTATTACTGCAGAACCTGAAGAGGTTTGAGAAGCAACCTGACTCAGCATCCACAAAGGAAAGCCTCTTTCAACTGGATGGTCAGAGGAGAAGCCTGACCCAAATTCTCTGTGCTCATGTTATAACAGGTCATTGGAATCTCTTTAGGTCACTTGTGTCAATTAAATTTGGGGGGAGCTCATGTTTGGCACATACTTCAATATGCTAAGAAATATGGGACATGGTCTAGATCTGAACATCCAAGCAGAAAGGCCCAGGTAGATTGTTGAGGGAGTCTTGGGACAGAATCCATTCTCTGATTATCTTGAGGAGACCATTACTATATGCATCATCTCAGATTTCCCTATGTC